ATAAATTGTGACCTAAATATAATTTATGTTCAATTCATGTGATGTTTGTGACCGTAAATAAGTATTGTGACTTATAAATTTTGTGATATGTAATCGATGAACAAATTGTGTATTTAAAATTTTTAAATTGTGACCGATAAACAAATTTTGACATATGGAAATGTTGAATTGTGACCTAAAAATTTTTGCCGAAGTTGGAACATTTGCCGGAATCGGAACAGTCTCCGGAACAAAGTGGCGGGAGGAACGGTCATCGAAATAGTCGTCGAAATTGGAGCAGTCGTCGAAACAGTCGTCAGAAATGAGTTGTGATCGGAACGGTAGCTGGAATAGTCCCCGGAGCTGTAGGAGTGGTGGAGGTGTGGTGTGGTGTGGTAATTATATTAAATTAGAATTAAATATTTAATAATAAATTTATTTAATAATTCATTATTTCATAAATAAAAAATTAAAAAAACCTGATTTGTGAAATTTGGAACTTGTTTTTGTATTTTTGAAATGGTGTAAAGTAAATACGTTAAAAATGTATTGTTCACTTTAATTAATCTAATAATACAACCATTGAGTTCTGGGATTTAATTGGGCTATAGCTTACAACCCAAATTACTAAACCAGCCCTCTTACGAATTGTGACTCAAAGACAGTCCGATCAATGAGCCTGCTCAATCGGCAAAAACCACGTGCTTAGCACTTGATTTTCCCTGAAACAATAACCAACAGACAACTACCTCAAGAGTCGAACACAAATCAGTTAACTAAAAATGGTTTTTTTTTGCTTTCCATTCTTGTTTTCTTAGCCCCCAAAGCCACCGCCTCCCGCCACCCCTTCTCCGACGGATGCACGATAGCCATCGCTGCCGATGCTGCTAGCATCGCCATTTCCCAGAACCCAAACAACCCATTTTTTCAAAACTTTCTAAATTTTATGGTCTCCGTTTCTCACCTAAAAATAACTTCATTCCCATGTGGGTTTCCCTTTCTCTTGCTGATAACTCCGCTCCGGCCACTGAATCAAGAACCAGAATGTCTTTTTCGACAGTTTTGAAGGATTCTCAACGGCTTCTTGGAATTGGATTGAGGAGAAAAGCTATCTCAAGTTTTAAAAACATCGATATTTATGCTTATGGTACCACATTTTACCTTTAGTCTTTCATACTTTTCATGTTTTTTTATCCATTTTTGTTTTTGCAGTGTGAACTTTATATGAGTTTTGATGAATTTAAGGATATAATTTCTTGTACTAAAGTCAACTAGGGATACAAAATAGATATAGTTGCAACAGCTCGATACTCTGCTTCGGCTGACGATCTAGATATAGTTGCTTGTCTTTTTGATTTCCAAGATATCATAGAATCCCCAATGAAGATACAAAATCCTGTTGTAGATTTTCTTGTATCAACATAAGAACCCCAATCAACATCCGAGAAAGCTTGCAATTTGAGAGCTAAACCAGACACTGCATTTGTTGCTGAGAAAAAGGATTCCTTGCCCTGGGCTGTTCTTCAAATATCGAAGCAAATGATGCACTGGTTTAAGATGTGGTAACCTGGGTTGAGACAGAAATTGGCTTAGTTTGTGGACAGCATATGTAATGTTTGGTTGTGATGTTGTCAAGTAGAGTAACCATCCAATTAATCTTCTGTATTGAGAAGCATCCGACAAAAGATCACCTTCCCGTAAACTTAGATGTGGTTTTGGATTCATAGGAGCATTGATTGGTTTGCAATTTAAGTAACATTGACTGGTTTGCAATTTAAGTAACATGTATCTTCAAGTAACTGTAAAGTATAATGTCTTTGTGATATTACAATACCAGATGTTGAACGAGCTATTTCAGTTCCCAGAAAATATTTCAAATTTTCCAAATCCTTCAATTTGAATTGATAATGTAAGAAGCCTTTCAAAGAGTTAATAGTTTGAACATTTGGGCTAGCGATGACTATTTCATCCACATACACCAATAATGCTATAACTGATCTCCTTGCCCTTTGGTGAATAAAGAATAGTCAACTTTCGATTAAGTAAAACCAATTAATCAGTGCTTGGGAAAATTTGGAGTTCCATTGGCGTAATGCTTGTTTGAGTCCATAAATGGATTTGTGTAGTTTACATACCAACCTCTCCCCATGTTTGGCAATTTTGGGAGTCTAATAACCAAGTGGCAAGTCCATGTATACTTTCTCAAATAAGTCTCCATTTTAAATGCATTGTTAACATCCAATTGCACCAAGTGCCATTTTCTATAGGCTGCAAGCGCTAATAACAGATAGTGACAGTTCCATTCGTGTGATGCTTGTTTGAGTCCATAAGTGGACTTATGTAGTTTACATACCAACCTCTCCCCCTGTTTGGCAATTTTGGGTGTCCAATAACCAAGTGGCAAGTCTATATATACTTTTTCAAATAAGTCTCCCTTTAAAAATGCATTGTTAACATCCAATTGCACTAAGTGCCATTTTCTATAGGCCGCAAGCGCTAAGAACAATTTGACAATGACTATCTTTGCCACTGGAGATAAAGTGTCAAAGTAATCAAGTCATTCATGTTGGGTGTAACCTTTTGCAACCAAACGGGCTTTATGCCTTCCAATAGTTCCATCCGATCTATACTTGATTTTATATATCCATCGACATCCTGCTGAATGTTTGCCAATTGGCAAAGCAACTACAGACCATGCATGATTTTGTTCCATAACATCTAGTTCAAGTTTCATGGTTGCACGCTATTGAGGATCTCTCACTGCCTGATGAAAAAACTGTGGTTCGTGATGATATGAGAAACTTAGACTAGATGTCTGTATGTAGATGTTAACTTTTCGTAGTATACAAATTTACCAATGTGATAAGGCAGATGAGGATATGGTTGGGAACTTTGAGCTATCAAATTGCAATGGCAATGTGATGTGTTGGCAAAAAGCAGTTGACTGCAAAAATTACTTTTTATTTAAACTGTCCAATGACATAATGTCGCGTGACGTTCTATAAACAAAATTGTCATCCATGTTGTTCACCAAGCATGATTCTGAATTAGGTAGCTAGTCGGTCCAGCTGATTTCAATCCTCATTTAGTGATCGGCGGTCAGTTGAGTGCTTGAAAATTGTGTAGTTTGGCCTAAATAGGATGCAAAACTGTGTGTAACTATCCAACATTTGGGGATGCCAACTTCAAATTGTGCTAACTTTTGTGAAGATTTACTGTCTGAAACGAGAAACCTTAATGCCATTGTAACAGTGACTGAAATTATTTAAGATATTTGGGACACTTGGTAAGGCGATTACAATCATTCCATAGCATGGTGTTTACTCAAAAGGAACTCTCGTGGAAAAAACATAGTCTAATCTATTAATTATTGAGTGATTTTCAAGAAATTGATCTTCGAGTGCACTATTGTAATTATTGTAAACGCACGGTTCTTATTTTATATATAAAAAAAATCCTCGAAATTCACATAAACAAACGTGTTTATGTATAAGAAAAACCCTAATGCTCTTTAACAAACATGTTTTCTCTTGGATTTTTGAATCGTGAAAAAAGTTTGCATATAAATCAATAAAAAATAATGGTAATTTTTATTTTTTCAACGTATTTGGTATATTGGATGAATTAATAAATAATAATAATAATAATCATAATAATAATAATAATAATAATAATAATAATAAAGACATCTTCCAATAAATAAATACAATGTAACAGCAATAATTAATGATGATATTTTATATTTGAGATAATATTGTATTTTTTTTTTTTTTTTGATACCAGGTGTCCCAACTTTGCCAGACTAAATTCTGAACCTCCAAGACCCTTGCCCCTAGAATCTTGGAAGAGGTAAATTGCGGGATATGCCTCAACTGGTTCTCAGGTTCCCCTCACCAACTGTACACTTCTGCGCACAAGGGATCATCCTCAAAAGTGATTGCTCCATACCAAATAAATATAGCCGCAAGTTCTCACCAGGATTCGAACCCCCACCATGTCGCTGGAAGCGAGTTATGTGCTGATTATTCCGTCAGTTAAGCTGTGCCCCGGGGGGCAAGATAGATAATATTGTATTAATCTTAGGGTGAATCGTTTAGATGTTTTCGATATATATTATCTTCGTCCATTGTATATATAAAAATGTGTAAAACGTAATTCAAGACATCGCGTGAACTATAGTTAAAATGAACTCTTCATTCGTATGATACGTTGATTAATCTTGGTGGCCTAGAATGTTTCAGCTTGGATTGCAGATCGTGATCATTGGAGTTCAAGAAAAAGCAAAAGAGTTTGTGGAATTCATCAAAGGTATCATTCTCATCACAGTTTCTATCTAAACACATTGCAGATCCTCGTTTGGGAATTGAAAATTGTTTAATTTCCGCTGTGCATGTTAAGTAAATTCCCAACATTATCTTCGTCCATTGTATATATAAAAATGTGTAAAACGTAATTCAAGACATCGCGTGAACTATAGTTAAAATGAACTCTTCATTCGTATGATACGTTGATTAATCTTGGTGGCCTAGAATGTTGAGGGCTCGACATAGCTCTATCAAGTTAGAGAGTAACCAAACTCAAGAACCGTGTAAGTTGGCATGTCTAACTTAAAATTTTATTTTTCGTACTTTTCATGAGTAAACCCGATTTCATAAAAACAAAATATATACGTGATCAAGCCACTCAGAACCCCTCTATCCTTTTACCCTTTTTCCCAATTTAATTTGGATTAAAAAGGAAATTAGCAATAAGAAATAGACAATGATTCATAATTTCTTACCTAGAATGCAAGCGCAGAGTACGAAAATATGTCTTCATTTGCATGGGACAACAAAAGAACAATATATTATAAGAAAGAGATGTACACTTGAACAAGGACAAGTTCGAAGAAAAAAACATGAAAAAGAACATTAAGTGAAACTTTGATCACCCGAGACAAAACAACCTTCAAAACACTAGAATATAGATCAAAAAGGACAAAATATATATACTAGAAAACACAAACAACAGCGACACAGAAATTAGTTCACGGCGCTACAAATCCTTCTTATGATCCCATTTTGACCGGTGAGGGGTTCAATGTCTCCCATTTTGATCATGGCTGCACCAAAGTCCGATGAGAAAGTACGAGGATTGTTGCTATATTGTGTCACAATACTATCTGTTGATCCTCCGCTGAAAAGAACTTGATCTGATGCTAACAAACCCTTTCTTTGGATTAAATTCTTGTAGTAATTGTTATCGAATGAATTGGGTGTCACCAAATCGAGTGGTGATAAATTTCCATCACTGCCATTTCTAGGGCATTGGCGTCGACGGGTGCTGGCGAAACCAGCGTCGATGTCTGTTCCATTGCTGTAGATTCTATCGCGAAACAGACGACACTGTGCCTGCCCAATTGTGTGTGCACCTGTCCAATAAGTAGTACAATTTCGTTAGACTCGTCTTCATCTATTAACCAGTACATACATTACAAGAAGCAGCTGCATAATTTACCTGACAGAACCACCATGTCTCTTTCATTTAGTCCTTTGCCATTAAAGTTGGATATAAGTGTCGGGAGGTCGTCCCGAAAGCTAGGAAGATTACTTTCCGCCAGTGATCGGGTTGCCGTAGTCGAATCTCTCCTCCCGAGCTTCACTGTCCATGAAGGACCGCCCACCGCGGCAGATGCATCCCGCGCCGCCACCGCAAGGATGTCGGCACAAGAAACGACTCCAGGGCATATATTCTCCACCGCGCTCTTGGCGGCGTCTATGACTTCATAACCTCTTGCCGAATTATCATTAGGCCCCGCAGTTTTCTCACTTGTAATGCCGGGGGCGTCGTCCAGTAGTATTGATGCATCACATCCCTAATGACATGAGAAAAAAACAAAAAAAAGAAGTTAAATATAATCTTCAACACGTCCCTTCATGTAAGTTCAGAGTGACATTTTCAATTTTCAACGTGTAAAATTATCTTTAAACCTGAACAAAGCAATCGTGAAAATGGAGACGAATGAGAGACGCAGCCATCCTACGCTCGCTCGACACAGCTCGTCTAATGGAAGTTCGAATTGTACTAAGCGCATTCGGACACGTACTATCGTAAAACGTAGATGACAATTGCGCTTGGCAAGAGATCATGAGCAGGAAAAATATAGCAGCAACAGCTGCATAAACATTGCCAGAATTCATCTTGAAAATATTATATATTTAACTATAAAATGTAAGCAAAATCCGTAAAAATGAAGAAATCTAAGAATATTAGTATTTTTCTAAGATGTTTATGAAAGTATTGGAGCAAAATGAAGAATTTATAGAGCAAAATTTACTACAAATTCAACGTTACATGCACATACATGACTAATTCTGCTGTCTGTTTTTGAATAAAGATAAAGTCTTGTTTTGTAGCGACGAAAGTTACACATTTCTACTGCAAACTATTATTCCTCATCTATGTATGCTTTCTGACTTTTGGTTGGTATAACGAAATTATGAAATTTATTCAATCTATAACTATCTAAACTTTTAGACGAGATAGCTCATCATTAATATAGTAAAAATAAAGATTCAAATTTCATATAGCTTCGTGCAGTTTATTAAAGAAATTCTCACGTATGAAGAATTTCAAGAAATATAAACATGAACTAAACATCGGTGACGATACAAATATAAATAAATAATCCACAACTTCTATAATAATATATATATATATTTGAATTTATGGCCCGTTTCACGGGGCCTTTGCTTCTATTTGTTATTCTAAAAGTTTTTTTACTCAAACAAAGCACTTCTCAAAAATAATCCAAACACGTAGAAAACTTCATTCTTAGTTACAGAACCAATTTTTAACTTTTCAAAAGTCATATCAGACGAACCGGCAGCACTAGTTGAATAGTCCTTTTACCGGAATTTTGGAATTATTCAAGTAAGTAGATAATTCTTATTCATTGGATGTGCATGCATCGAGGCATATTATGAAAGGCTGCTCTAAGCAAAAGCAAGCTAATTAAGTAAATAATATTAAAGTGAAGCACTCATTGTCAAGGGGGCAACCTCGGACTTTTCGTCTGGTCAATAAAATTAATGACAACATGTAATAAATTAATAATTAATTAATTCCAATCTCTTAATCTTATCACGTTTTAATTAAGGAACGTCGATTTGTGGGTTTGGTCGTTATGACACATTTGGTCATGAATTAACAATAGTTTTATTCATTTTAAAAGGAGACTTGCTACATTTACAACATTTTTACACATACAGTTTGCAGTCCTCTCACATAGGGGGTGGAGCTCACCTTAATCGCGAGCTTTCACACCCATGTGAGAGAGCTGTCAAACTTAATGTGTAAAAAGGCTGTACATTCAGCATTTTTCTTGTGAAAAACGAAATTTATATCTCGATGGATTCTGAAAAGCTATATACTAGTTTGAACGTAAAAATCCCATTTCCACCAATAAAAGTATTTTCTTACTTCAACTCGAAAATTCGGCACGCCCATACTAATAAATTATTATTCTTTATGATAAAGATGATTTGCTTACAAAATTAAAGTAGGCATAAAGAAAGTTTATCATTCAAACTTGTCGGAATATTAATTTATAATTTACTATAATAAATTAATACGACCAATTAGCAAAGGTTCATAGAGCTAAAATCACTAATTTGTAATAGTCAAATTCTAGACGTCAGAGATCAATTTAGAAGCACTTCTCTTTCGGGCTAATTCAAGATAGTGTAAGAGTATAAATTTCAATCGATTCAGATGCAACAACGGAAGCTCTTTAGTATCCTGCAGCTACGGAAATGAAGCTCCAAGGTTCAAGCGAAGGGTAAGCTAAGAAGAGGTCGACGGCAAAATAAATAAGAAAATCGAGTAAAAACTTATTAGGGATTCCCTTGATTGGTCTAGATCGCGGATTCGTTTAGGATTGATCTCCTCTTAGAACTCTCGATTGAATGAAAGAAGACAGCGAGAAAAGGTTTTGATTGAGAGTTGCACATCTGCGACGCTCAATCAAGTCAAAATCAGAACTTACGTGCTTCGAGATGTCCTCCTCTTTGCTCGGCAATTTGGTTATCATATTGACATTTAGTAATGTGTACTTTCTTTGTGTAGTTAATAGTCTTTTGTGTCAAATGCTTCCATTTTATTTCATAGTTTATCTTTACTTAACAATGTAGTTGTGGTTCATTTTCTAATTCACTTTATCACCTAAAATGGTAATAAAGTGGTTCATGAGTTGGCAAAATTTGCTACTCTAGGTCACAAGTCATTTATTGGTTAAATTATATATCCCGTTTTACAGTTCGATTTTAACTAATGAAAAATTACTTTATGCTTAAAAAATCAACAATTTTAATTTTTTATTGGCATAATTTGCTACACTGGGTCACGAGTCATTTATTGGTTAAAATATATATCCCATTTTATTTCGTCCACAGTTCGATTTTAACTAATGAAAATTTCACTTTTATGCTTAAAAAATCAATAATTTTAATTTTTTATTTAACCATTGTTTGAATCATCCTTTAAAATATACTTTTTCTTTAAATTCATTTTCGATTACACTCTTCAAATAAAATAATTTTACATGTAATGCACTAATTGCAATTGCCAAAACAATGCCAACTAGCCCATATAATTAAACATATGAGTTAAAGTTCATTGTTAGCTAGCTTTATTCAAATTCCTGCTCGAGTCATACTTTAGGCCATTTTCATGCTATCTAAAGAAACATAAATCAAATCTAAGAACGAACATATCTTAAGGTCTGTTCTCTTTATCATTTTCAAGTCGTTTTCTGTTTTCAATTTTTCAAAATAGTGAAAATACGTTTTTTAAAACAAGTTAAAAATTTACAAAAAAAACACAAAACGACAATTTGTTGTTTTGAGTATAACAAAAACGCGTTAAAAATTTACAAAAAAAAACACAAAACGACAATTTGTTGTTTTGAGTGTTTTCAGTTATAATCAAATCAAAATTTTCAATACAAGTTTTGAGTGTTTTCAAAACAATTTTTCAAAATGTCAAAAAGAACACATTTTCAACAATCTCAAAATAAACATTCAAAACACAAAACCCAAAATGAATTCAAAACTCAAAATACAAAACTGAAACATAAATAGAACAGGCCCTTATATTCTTGGACAGTTGCAATCGAGGTGATGTTCAAATCTAGACCATGTCTTTTTATAAGACTAATCTGAATGTTTAAGGTCCCTCTATTATGAAACTTTGAATAAAAAAGATATGCCACGGGGGAATTCCTTGTATAAAATTAAGGAATTGTATGATCCTCATTTCTAAAATTTATTTTCAACCATACATTTCATAGGATCCATAACTTTTATCGACGTTTCATCCAGAAGTTTCATCAATTTCATCAACTTTTTATCAAAATACATTAAAAATCTGATTTTTAGCTAAACAAAACAGGTACTAAAGATATTAGTTTTATAGTAATACGGAAAAGACAAAAAGAAAAAAAAAATAATAATAATAAATTAAGCAGGATAACGAAGGTAACTACTGTAAGAAAAGGACATTAAAAGATGCGAATTCATTCAGGCTAAAATCAGCTTCATCGTTAAAAGAAAAATGTTTATAGATTGATGTACAAGCTAAGTAATTGCTCGTCAAAACTGCTTGGTGCCTAAAAATGATCAGTGTACCTTCCAGATATCAGTTTTCTCAGCGTTCTTTTCTATTTCCAGAAACTACACAAGCCCAGATTTGCATAGTAATATGCAACAAAATAGATGGACTTCTCAAAACTTCAGAGTAGATGAACGCTCGAATTTACAAGTCGGCATAAAAGCATTCTCAAATTGTCAGCAATTCCTGAAAAAGGAAGGTGAATGGAAGAGGCAAATGTACATCAGTCTATGGTAAAGAATGCATAGAACTTGCTAAAATTTAATTCACTTGCTATTCTGATTAACAGAATTTTAATGACCTTACAAGTCACCAGACAATGAACAAAAATCAGCTCAAAGTTAGGGAAAAGAGCAGAATTCAACCTTACACATAAACAGCAATTGGATTATATGGACAACGAGATGAATTTGCCAGTTCAACTAGGTTTTTATACTTCATTCTTTCTCCAAAGGTGTGATGTTCTTCTCTCTCAGAAAACAATGTGGTATTTCAAAGTCATTGGCAGGGTACATAGTTGCCATGAACAAGGTCGCTTCTTTTCTTGTTTTTATTTAGTTCTTTAGTTATTTATTGTGGAAAGGGGATGACACGAGGTGCCCTAGGGAAGTAAACTAGTAAATTATCAGTTTCAGGAAACCCAGAAAGCTCATACACCCTCTGTCCCCCAATCTCAAAAAAAATATAAAAAAATAATAATAATAAATAAATAAATAAAGATAAAAATGCTTCCATACCTTCTCTTTCTGTTTGAAGATTGAGTTAATCTTCTTCATGTACTCATCAGTCACTTTCTGCAAATAAAGAATACAATAGTCAAGGTCAGTCTACAGCCAATAATGTTTATACTTTCCGGCTTATTAGCACAAAGAAAATCAACTTGGTCTACATTTGTGAAAACCAACATCTAATCTAGGTACCTGCAGATCAATAGAGAGATCCTTCACATTGTCTTCAGAGAGCTTTTTCTCCTGCAAGATACTTCAATATATTAACATAACACCAGCATATAAAGAAAAGGAAGAGGGGTATTCTCCAGACCTTATCAAGTTTTTCATAGGATTTAATAGCATCTCTTCTTATGTTCCTTATAGCCACCTAAATCCATTGAGAGCAACTTGAGGTTATTTAAAGGATACAATCGAAGACAGATAAAATATTCTTTTTATATGGACAAATAGAGAATAAACTTCACTAATTGATAAAGAAAGTGAACCTATAAGAACAGCCCAAAAAATCACACAAAGCAACCAAAAGGTTTCAACATAAACGTCATTTTTGTCAAAGAACAGTCAAGATCAAATCTGTTGCCGTGTATGACAAACCAGGAATACGAATCAATTAGTGACACCAGCCAAATATTTTAGTTGGCATGACATAACCAGAGGAAAAAATAAAAATAAGTCGGCATTAGGAATTCAAAAGTATCCCTCCTGCACGCCCATCGTGGAGACCCCTTTCGGGTAAAATTGTTTTAGCATCTATAATTGGGTCCAAAAATTTGAAGGAAAGAACTCAAAGACCACACTGAAAAAAAAAATGCAGCAGATCTCCATTAATGAAAGAGCTTTAACATCACAACGAAGGCAACTAGTACAACAGAACCTTCCCAAGAATCGCACAAATTGGGAGAGCAATTCATTTGAACCATGTGTTACAGATACAAGTATACCTTCCCTTCTTCAGCCTGTTTGGCGACAATTTTTGACAGCTCCTGAAATAAACAATAGAAGAAGATAAATATTCAATATAACTATTACAGCATGTGTTACGGAAAAGTGCAGATTGATATATGCTCTATTAAGACTTCTATACGCGATTTTATGATATTGTGAAAGAGCAAACTCTACAATCTATTTCAAGCAAAATTGGTTATGGGCACAACTGCACGAGTCATTAATAACTAGAAAAGAAATGCGCTCATTATGATCAGGTATGTGACGTGTGCATCAATCTCGGGACTCGGCTGACAGTTGACTAGACTTTCTTTGGGCTGAAATTTCTTTTTACTAGAACAGGTGTATCCCCTAGAGTTTGCAAAGGCACCAGTTATGCAAAGACACGTTGAAGGAACTATTGCACTATAAAAGAAGTGATGAAAAGCCTGGTAGGTAACAGTAAAATCAGTTACAGGGCTGTTCATGCAATAAAAAGCCAATGAGATCCATGAACAGGATTTTCTTTATCATTTTGACAGGTGGGAATCATAGGATTGAAAACCTGGATAGAGAAGTAATAGAAAAGGGCAAGGAGCTAACAAGAAGTCAAAAAATTTCAATATCAATGAAACCTGTTCATGAAAATCTCGTCTTTGAAAGTCAAACTCAAAGAGTTAGAAGAACGTAAAACTAAAAGTCATATATTTCCTCAGACAGCAAATAATAACTTCCCTACATACAGGATCAATTGAAACAAAGTGTAGCTAAATATTTATGACTCAAATGATATATCGTTGATACCCAGTTACCGCAAACACAATTGTCATAGAACAGCATCAAAAGTAACCGAAAATCAGATACTGTAGATGGGCTATAGAACACACTTGACTAAGCACTAGATCAAAAAGTACCTTCCTCCTTTCTGAAGTCAGTTGAGGGAGAGTCAATCTAATAACGTCTCCATCATTATTTGGTGTCAAACCGAGATAAGAGCTGACAATTGCCTTTTCTATAGCCTTCAAGCTGAAAATGATCGAATACATGATTGGACCACCGAATGACGTATACGTGTAACTAAAATTTATATAACAAATGACAGAGATGGAACTTTTGAAATTTACAAACATCAAAAACATCTAGCCAATAGAAATGTGATAATATAATTAATAGTTCTAGCTCACTCTTCTGTAATTTCGTAGGTGTAGTTCTCAAAATTATAGACATTTCAACAAACTCCATTCACATTTCCTGCAGGTCCTGCATAGCAATAAGCCAATAGCCATTCCTTTTACTGCATAAGCTTCTTTTCAAAAAAGGAAAAATGAAACAAAGCCACTTTTCGATTTACCCTAGCCATAAACCAGTCGAAATCTTAGTGGCTAAAAGCCAAATCACAGCCACTGATTGTCAACATAACTCAAATTTTACTCTTGTTGTAGCAAGAGATCACCATACCTGGATTTATCGTAAGGCTGCACCATGAGAGAACTTGCATCAGGAGTACTGATTTGAGCTATGCTCTTCAAGGTCACTGGTGTTCCATGATACTCAACCTGGGACAGGGAAGTAGCAGAAAGGTTTAGTCTTTAAAAAACTAAAGATGCCAACGTTCAAATCCAGATTATAAAAACTAAATTTAGGTTGTAAGTCATTCACGGATGCACGATTTCACTAAGAGTCTCATATTTTTCGGCGACCTATTATCAAGTTTTAGGTCGTAAGTCATTCTATATAGTTTCATTGCAAAACATTATGAAGCTCAATGTGATAGCTTTAAAGAATACAGGCAAACAAGCAGTCATAAAATTAGGCTATATTTGGCACCTACAACCTTTTTATCGTCAGACAATCAAATCCTTGGATTCTGTTCTTGTGGCCTATAAATGTACACCAAATCTTTATCTTTGAACTTAACTGTCTCTGGTCAAACTTTGGACAAAAGAAGGTGGAAGTGTTATGCCATAAATCCAATCAATTTAGGTTGTAAATACTTATAATATGTTTAATGCATTTATATTGGCAAGATCTATTATTTATTTGAATTACTGCTCTAATAAATTATATTAAATAATAGCGTTCAAAGATTTAAGTCTTATTAATTTGTTAGTCACAAGAATTTGTAATTATGAGATACCAATTACAATATGATTGAATCTTAAATCATCTGAGATCGTGAATAATAATGAGATACGGATATCACTATTAGGATAGATCATCACGTGTGGCATTTCTTACTTGTGAAATAAGTAGCTAAACTCACGAGCTAAAGTGTGGTGACACTTAAATGAACACGTGAATATTTTATTATAAAACAAAACATTGGAGACACACTGAAGAGATTCTACATGGATAACTATTTGAGTGTCAATGGTTAATTTCTAATATTCGATAGTGGAATTGGTCCTTCGACTTGTGGTGATATTGGATGTTACTCTGCAAAAGGTCGCTAATACGACATCTTTCGAGTATGTCAAGAATCATATGAAAATTGTAAGTGATTACTAGAGAATTCGTCACTCTTGGATAGCAAGATATTATGATCTACATTTCATTTATTTAAGTTGATAATGAAATTCTTGATCAATATGTACTTATAAGTCAAAAATGAGTTTTCGACTTATACTGACTTAATAGTGAGATGAAAGATATGATCGATAACTGAGATTGACACATATTCGTATCTCGTAATTGATCGGATTATATTGACAAAATAATTATATTTTCACGATAAACAAACAAGTTTTGATTTTAACATACCACGTAACATTTCCCGTCATATGTACTGCCTTGACACATTGTTAGATGTCAGTATGAGACGACGGATGTGAATTGGTGATAAATTAAAAAGGGGTATTTTAATTTATCAGTTTTGATTAGATCAATATAATAATTCATGTTGTTCAATATCGTGATCATGAACCTAATGAGTTACACACAAAAGGAAAAATAGAAGAATGAAACTAACCAATTAATTAATTAACAAGTGTTGGAGAATTAATTAATTGGATTGCTTGTTAATATGCCCAAATTAATTAATTGGATTAATTAATTCATAGACCAAATTTAATTAATTAGATTAATTAAATATTAAATTAGGTTAAGTTTAAGAGGCAAACTTAGCTCACTTGGACTTCTATTAATAGGCTGCTAGGGTTTGAAAATTAATGGCACAACATTATTATTATTTTCGCTAGTACAAGAAAAGAGAACCCTAGTTCTCTCGATCTTGTTCCCTATGTGAATTTTTATTGGAGGCTGAACAATTGGACAACTATGAATTGTAGATCATAACGGTTCTTCAAGGAATTTTGTTTAATTCTTTATCACAATTCTCTCTAAGCATAAAGAAGATCATTGGTGGGAATTGAAAATTTTGTTTAAATTCTACTGTGCATGTTAAGTAAATTGCCAACGAGAGGTTCATAGATTCAGGGAACGAAAGCTGCAGATACTAACTACCTTACATTTCTGGTTTGAATCAATCGTGGATAATTTATAAACTGTAGAATACTCCAGTTGTGAACGCTACTGCAACCAATCTATAAGCATAGTAATCTACTTTGCCGGTTTTGAGTTGTGGTGTGCACTGCATTCAGTAAGACTACAGCACAAAATTAAATTTGAGTATGAACATTAAAAGTTCTACAAACATTAAATGATACCTCAACTTTATCCAGCATTGCTGGGTTTGCTCTCCCAGTTCTTATGGACATGAAATTGGACCTCAAAGTTTCAATAGTCTTTTCCATCCTTCCTTTCTGGAATAAAAAGAAAATGGAAGGAAACAATCGGCTTATTGTAAAAGCTCCCATGTGAAAAAAAAATGGTTCAAAAAGCAATCTAGGGGCTAGGGCTAATCAAGCTCATAAGCTTACAGCATCCTTCTCAATCAAAGACTTCTCAGCTTCAATTTCTTCAATAGTTGCACACCTCAATGTATTGGCTCTGATAATTTATCAAGGGGAAACAGAAAACAAAGCAAAGCCCACGTAATTAACACTAAAACAGGAGTCATTCATTAAGCCAGCCATAATTTCATGAAAGTTTCGAAACTCGACTTGCCTCTTCATCCATGGTTTTCTAACAAGGGGTTTCGCAGAAAATCCTCCTGGCCCGACCTGAAGTTTAACGTAATTCGAAGCTGCATTCCACGAAAATACTTTCCCAGATTTTAAATTAGAACCTGCAGCAAAAATCTAAATTATAAATACATTTGTTCAATCAATATGCAACGGAATCTAAAATAAAAGTAAGAAAACATAAAATTACTTTCAAGCAAAATCGCTCAGAACTAAACAGGGACCTGGGATAAAGGACGGAAGGATTCTTGGAGAATTACAGCCTATATGAGTTGCAGGCGTAGATGCCATTGCCATTGTTACGAAAAGTGTTCGGTGAAATGCGTATATGAACTTTTATATATTTTTCGCTAAACTAGGAAGGAAGTTGCGAATTGGACTGTGAATTAGGAGAGGATTTGCTTAAAAAGTGTAGTCAATCATAACGTTAGTAGATTAAAATATGATTAAAATTGAAAAATTAATTGTTATTGTTAACTATTTTCAATGACGGGTATATTTTCAATTTTAATTGGATTTTAAGCACGACCAAACATGCCCTTATTCTTTAAATAGTTTGAAGTATATTTGATCATATATTAAAAATCTTAAATGCTCTTAAATTGAAATGACTAAAATGTCCACTTTGGAGTTCAGTATTTACCAAATCCCCCAAACATAAATCTTGCAATTGAGTCACTAAACTTTAATTAGCATCAACATGGTCACTTAACTTTAATTAACAACAATTAAACAATTTTGTTTGTGCTATGTCAGACAATGTAATAGATTTTGCTGAGAAGGCCTTCGACGTGAACTTAGTTAATTGTAGTAGTGATCATCGAGCTTTCATCTCGATTGCGGTCATATTACTGAACTTCAATTTGCACCGATCGAATAAGTTAATTTCAATTTAATAGCAATATAAGTACTATTTCATCACAATGAATAAATTTTAAAACATAATCTCCATTTTAAATATCAATTTAATTACAGTTTGAATGATTTTCAAGTTTTAAAATGCTGTAAAACCCAAAAATTGTTGGGAAAAGGGGAAATCTAGGGTTTTATAATATAATAGAAATATGAGAATATAAGGTTGAGTTTGATCGAATGAGATCGTACCAATTAGCATCCGAGCAAATACATTTCGAGTCTAGTGGTGATTCTTGTTCCCGCAGAAGGACCTAAAGAAGATTTGCTCTAGTGAGCAATGTTTTAAAATGCGCGTTTAGACATCGTCAAAGTGTTGCCTAGGCGCGATGTGCAGTAGAAATGTCAAACCACTTATTTAGAAGTCAATTATTGCCGTTGACGGTTACTGCGCGCCTAAACGAGCATTATTATTATTTTTATTTTTTTACAATTCTTTTTAAGTTAAAAATTAAAAGTTGATTTACATCTAAAACTTATTTTCTTGTTGGAAATTTTTGAAAAAAACGTATGAAGTTTCTATAAATTTATTTTAGATGTTTGATAGGTATTAATTTTAATTATTAAATAATTTTTCGATTGATTAAAAATTAAATAAGAAAATGTTTTTTTACGCATATGTCTCGACTAAGCTCGCATAACCCATAAATTGGTTTCTACACATCGCCACGTATTACGCATTTTAGAACACTGTTAGTGAGAGATCTTTTATATAAATTCACCTAATTCGAAATCTGGACAATCATTGACGTAGAATTTGAAATGTGAGTATAATGTATGACTACGTGTCTCAAATCAAGTCATAGTCATATAGTTATTTCGACACTTCTTTTTAAGAAATGGAAGTTGAATTTTGCTCAAACGTGACAATTAGAAAAAAATATATGCTAACAATTTCATCACTCCTGCAAATTTTCACTAACAAAAATGACCTTGCATAATCATACTCCTTCCGTCCCCCATACAGACAGGTTTGCTTCAATTTTCACACAGGTTATGAATATGTAATTAATATCCTTAAAAATATAAATTTTGCAGTATTCAAGTACGACTCATTGCAAGTGAGCCGTCTGAATTTCCGCTCGTGCAACCGGATGACTCCTTCAACTTGGTATCCGAGTTCTCAAACCTACTGTAAGCCCGTTTAAACCTCCTAAACTCAGTGTCTCTTTAAACGGTCCATTGGCAGCTAGCCCATCTCAAAACGGTGCAGTCTCTCCATAATATTGGGCTGAAGCTGATGTACTTTGACTATGTTAATGGATGAGGAAATTACATAATTTCAAGTATTTGAAAATTGGAAATTTAGGGACCAAGTTTTATTATTCAAAAATCATGTTCTATATAAAACTCTAACTCTAATTTATCACTCACTCTCAACTCCCTCACCTCTCTCTCTACCGCCGAACTCTCCCCTCTCTCCGTGAATTTACTGTCGAACTCTCCCCAAATTCATTCGAACCCTAAATCAAGATTCCCCAAGGTGGTGGCGGCGTGAAGGCGATGGTGGTGGTCGCGAGATGTAGCTGGCTATGGATTTAAAATTGATTGATGGTGATGGGTCAATGGGTCGATAATGGCAGATCTTGGTGGTTGAGGTGTGGCCGACGGCATGGCGTGGTGGTTGCTGTAGGGCTTATTGGATTTGGTTAGTTATTAAGGAGGTGCTTGAGGATTGATGTCTGTGGATTTAAAATGGATTGATGGTGATGGGCTAATAGGTCGATGATGGTAGAAGTAGGTAGCTGAGGTGTGGTCGACAGCATGGCGTGGTGGTTGCTGTAGGTCTTATTGGATTTGGTTGGTTATTAAGGAGGTGCTTGAGGGTTGTAGATGGTTAAATGTCGGATGAGGAGGAGGAAATGGTGGTGCAGTCGTCTGAGATGGTGGGAGTCGTGAAGGTACAGTGGCTGTGCAGAGCCCTACGACGATCTGTACTTTTCAGCTGCGGCTGACACAGGTCGTCGGGGATCTTAGTCGTCTGAGATGGTGGTAGTCGTGAAGGTACAGTGGCTGTGCAGTGCCCTACGACGATCTGTACTTTTCAGCTGAGTCTGTCACAGATCGTCGGGGATCTGAAATTTTTATAGCAACTCTGAGGTGTTTTGGGTGGTGGCGTCTATGGTGGTGGATCGACGGTTGGGGTGGTGGTCGTACTTTGTTTGATGGTTGTGGGTGGTGGCGGTGTTGTGTGGTGGTGGCTGAAGTAGTTCCAGTGGTTTGTGATCTAAGTATTTGATTATCTGTGACCAAGTTTTAACTGTAACATACAACTTTTGATAATATGTGACTGAAAAATAATATGTGACCAACAAATTTGAAAATATGTGACCAATGAAATTAACTGTGACATGTAAATTTTTGAATACGTGACCTCGAAATCATCAGTGACTAATTAATTTGATAATATGTGACCTATAATTATATATCCGTGACATTAATTGTATAATTGTGACCTAATTAATAAATATTTTTAATTAATTATCTAATACATGATTTTTAAATTTTCGAATCATAAACCTGATTTTTGAATTGCTGTAAACTATACACCTGATTTATGATTTTTTTTCCCTTAACGGATTATATAGTGTTATGTATAGTAAAATCATAATTTGAATTACGAGATCTTTATGTATAAAATTTTAGAAACGTCAAGAAGCCATGTAAAATATCTTACACTTTAATCCACGTGAATATTAGTTAGGGTTTGTTTGATAAAGCTTTTTATTAAAAAAATTAACAGATTTTGATAAAAATTACGAATTTCATGAAAAAATGTATGATACAGATTAAAATTTGACAAGTTAAAACGTTGATAAAATTTTAATAAATTTGATTAAACAAGCGCTTTGTTTAATACATTAAAAATCAGCTATTACATAATCGAACGAACAAGAATCCTCCCGTGCACGTGCGTTCATAGAGATGGTAAATCAGTAAAAATGCGTGTAATTAATTGACTAAATACAAAATACTAATAGAGTAACGTTATTCATAATCGCTCACTGCAACAGTTGCCATATGTGGTACACATATGACATGTAGTTATTTGATGAATTAATGTGGTAATTTTTTTTTACCACATTAATATTAATGCATTAAATACACAATTGACATGTGTGTGCCACATAGGGCGACTGCAAATAGCATTATTCATACTAATATATAAACAGACAATGATCGTCTATAATGCAGCACACCATAGTTTCTCCTACGACCCCAACATTCTAAAATTGAGCATTACATTAACAAAAGCATGGCACCACACTGTCCAACTTCCTCCTCCTTAAAGATATATATATATATATATACACACACGCGCATAGAAGATAGAGTGAAAAAATAGTTAGGATTTCTCAAATTTCTTCTGATTTTACTAGATACATACAAAAATGAAAAGGCTGGATGTACGGAAAGAATGCCACAAAATTTCACCAGAATAGAGTCATACACACATTTGAGGTCCCGTGCAATTTTTTTAAAAAAATAAAACATGATGGGTCCCGCACATTTGTGTGTATTCTGGCCAAATTCTAGTGGGCTTCTTTCTATACATGGGGAAAACCTACAAAAATATGTTATCATTCCAAATTATTCCAAATATAAACTCTTAATTCCCGCTATTATAGTGACGTAGCTTTGAATCATTCCATGCAAGTCAAGACTGTTGTTCTAATAGAAATTGTGAACAACCTTTCGTCCTTTTGTTAAAATTCAACACCAAAAAAACACGATCAATCAACTTCACACACTTAATTGAAAAAGATGTTATCGGAAAAAATTCTGATCCGGCAATTTTACTAAAAAATCAAACGCCGGTCTGAAAAACCAATCAAGTTTTGACAAACTATTGTAAACTCAGCGCTAAATCAACTAATTCAGTTCTAGAATGACAAGCTCACGGTAAACTCCAATTTTTACGTAACAACGTATGACTCTTTACCATTTACATAAAATAGAAGGTTTTTTTTTTAAAAAAAATAATGTTGTTTATCCATAATATCACATTACATTGTTCGGAAAACATCGCTTATTAATAGTCATACTCATTTTTAAAGGTCCGCTTGACAAGTTCCTGGATAATCAAAAGTTGATTTCGAGATTTTGGAGTTGCTTTTAAATATATTTGGATAATTTTCTGTAATTATTTTTTTTCGATGGGAAGGGTTTTTGAAGGAATTTGATTTAAAATAACTTTATCAAAAAAACTCTTCAATTAAATGAAGAAATAATAGTAAAAAATTTGTCAAACGGACTCTAAAAAATTGGTTGGACATTATTAAAAGCCAAAAAAGGAATAATATATTAAAAAATAAAAACCAAATTAGAAGAATCCGCGTATATAATACACCCACACGTAACCTCCTTCCCCCACACTCTCTTCTCCCTGTCCCCCACACTCCCTTGCAAGAAAATGCGCAGTTACACACGGTGAATGCTGTTCCTTTGCATTTCATCACCATTAATGCTTCTCAGAATTAATTCGTGACTTTCACTTTTTTCACGGATTTTCCTTCATAGCTATATATCTAGCCACTTTACTCGCTAGCTTGCACAATTGCTGGCAGTTTTTTTGCTGTGATTTTAGCTATCTATATATAGTGGTGGTGTTATATATAGTGAGAGAAAGTTGTTAAGAGTGAATCGGATTGATGGACCTGGATAAGGTGACGTTGGAGATTTTTTCCAAGTTGGAGCAGAAGTGGTTGTACCACTGTGATGGGAAGAAGACGCGTGTTTTAAGCATTGACGGCGGAGGAACTACCGGCATTGTTGCAGGTGCCGCCTTGGTTCACCTTGAGTCTCAGATCCAAGCGATCACCGGTGATTCACACGCTCGCATTGTGGATTTCTTCGATATTATCGCCGGCACGGGAATCGGCGCTTTTCTCTCCGTGATGCTCGTCGCAGACGATGGTGCTGGTCGTCCACTGTTTTCCGCGAAAGACGCTGTTGATTTTTTGATGGAGAATCAGACGAAGCTTTTCAAGGAGAAAAACGTAGGCGTTTTTCACCGCCGACAGAGGTTTTCCGATACGAGCATGGATAGGGTGCTAAACGAAGCGCTTAGGAGAGAAGACGGTAAGGTTTTGACCTTAAAGGACACGTGTAAGCCACTTCTCATACCATGCTTTGACCTCAACACCTCGGCGCCATTCGTCTTCTCTCGTGCCGACGCCTCCGAGTCAGCGAGCTTTGACTTTGAGCTTTGGAAAGTAATCCGCGCCACATCAGCGACTCCGTCAATGTTCAAGCCGTTCAAGCTCTCCTCGATTGACGGGAAAACCTCTTGCTTGGCCGTGGACGGCGGACTTGTAATGAACAACCCCGCCGCCGCAGCCATCACTCACGTCTTGCACAACAAGCGTGATTTCCCGTCAGTCACCGGCGTTGATGACCTTCTGGTACTCTCTCTCGGTAACGGACCGTTGAGCACTTCATCAAAGTTGAAACTCCGCCGCGATGGCCACTGTACGCCGTCGTCCGTCGTTGGCATTTCCCTCGACGGCGTCTCTGAAACCATTGACCAAATGCTCGGCAATGCCTTCTGCTGGAACCCCAATAGTTACGTCAGAATTCAGGTAATTTTCAAGTTCATTTACACTATTAAGAATCAAGTGAATTTCAATTAATTTGCAAAGAATGTTATTAATAAATGACTTTAATTGTTTCTTTCTATTAATTTCTACCTTAGTGAAAATTTGAAAATCTAGTCATAATATTTCTGATCACGGAGTTATAAACCTATTAACGGCGTTGTCTTACAGGCTAACAATGTTGGGAAACGACCGGAGGAGGTGTTGACGGAGAGAGGTGTTGAGTCGTTACCGTTTGGCGGGAAACGGTTACTAACGGAGACAAATGCGCAGAGAATCGGAGGGTTTGTGCAACGGCTTGTTGCATTGGGAAGGAGTAGTCTACCACCAAGTCCGTGCAAGGAAACGGGCCGTCAGTCCTCTTTTTAACGGCCGTTTCATTTTCTTTTTTGTCCTCGTTGTTCAGTTTAATATTCACCCATGACCATGTCAGGGGTGCTTTAGTGAAATTAAATAGCTTTATTGTCGGCTTTAAATGTTAGCTGGAAAACTAAATAACAATGTTAGTAATGAGTAATGACTGTTTAGCCTAGCATTAATTGTGTGGACCCTACTCGAACTGATGGCGCTTATCTAGAAAGTAAAAGGGTAGTTGAGTTTTTTTAAATTGAGAATTTCTTTCTTTTTATAAAATAAAATTTTAGGATTCATTTGTCATAACTTCTCAAAAGATAGAAATTGCTTATGTAACTAAGAAACTGTCTTTGAATATGTTTATATAATTTTTTAAAAACGATGTTTAATTATAAGAATTTTTAGAGAAAACTGACTTGAAATAGCTTTCTCAAGAAGTAATTTTGTAAGAAATAAATGCAAAATCAGGAGCATGCCAAACGAGCACTTAGTTAACAAATATGTCATTGAACATTAAAGGCAAAGTAAAAGCATGCCTACTAAATGCTCGGATTGCATCAACTTTATTGACTGCCTAGAGATTTTATTACAATAATCTACTTTTGCATGACATTAATTTCAATTGGCAAACTAGATTTCACTCTCAATTAGTAAGAAAAAGTAACGTTATTTGACATAATTGATGCTACAATAGTAGTCTAAACAGCACTAATATGACATTAAATGAGATATACAATTAAATGAATTACTTAATTGCACCACTCATTGAACTTCTGACGTCGCACTACTTAAACTGATGTTGTAGTACCACTAGTGTTAGATAACATTATTCAGTAAAAAACTTCAGAATTTTAGGAATAAGATTTTGATTTTAAGGGTGTGTTTGAGCCACATTATTTTAAAATAATAGATTGATGGAGAATGTGTAGTTGAAAAAGAAAGAAAAATTATTGATGTCATGGAAAATATTATTTTATTGAATAATATATGGTTGAAAATGAGTAGAAAAATGAGAATGAAAATTTTAATATACGTCAAACATGGACTAAATCTCATTGTTAAATGTATAGATAATGTTTGAATGCATTAAATTAAAAAAAAAAAAAAAAAATGTTGTACCTAAAGGCTTCATTTCCTGTGATTTTGGAAATCAGGTTTGGCAGTTGCCATTTCGTACAAATTTTCTAGCTTATGGTTCAGCTCGCCCTTCGAGAATGTAAATCAACTTGAAGAACAAACATGTTATATTAGGTAACTTTTTATACAATGGACAAGTAAATAGAACTGTATATTAGAATCATGGTTGATGTACAATGTTAATTGACAATATGTCACGTGATAAGTTATCATTGAACAGTTTAAAAAATAATTTATTTTTTCAATCAACAGTTTTTTTGTTATCTACAACATTGCTGATGTTGTCAACCAACATTATACAAATAGATTAATCCAACACGCTCACCATATTTATAACGTGAAAAAAAAAAGTGATGCTTTTTTAAGTCAAACATGTTTTGGCGTTATTTCCCTACACTTTGCTTCAATTTCTCTATTATGATCCATTGATCCCTGATCACATTCCTCTTATCTCTCTCGTCTCGACCTGTACATTCTTATGTAGGGTTTCTTGTGAGTTTCCTTCCACTCCTTCACTAGGGGCCATTGGGTACAGTTAGGTACAAATGGAATTGTACTTAATGAATGAAGTTAGCATTGGTGAGAATTCAGAGCCACAGGCTGTCCTGTCAAAATAGACCCTTTGGGTTGTTGGCTGTGTCTTTTACCCTTGGTGTTATTTCAAGATTGGAATATTATGTTTTAATCTACAAGTTTGGTAGATTATAGTTTATGGGTTTGGTTAAGACAATAATTAAGGTTGGATAATTGTTAAGTTTTGATTAGTAAGTAGGTAAGACATCCTGATTGATGTGGACACAGGCAAGGTATTACCAGGCAGGTAAGATGCTTTAGCTTTCATATTAATTCATGGCTTTTCCTAAGGGACCTTTATACATCCAACAAAAAGAAGAATTAGAGAAAAAGAAAATTGAGGACCACAAATTATATAAATTTCTTGTAGGAGTGTTTTAACTTGATAGTTGTATCGATTACCGTTATGTTGACGTTACGAATCTCTCTCGTGATCTCTAGTTTTTTTTTTTTGGTCCTCAACTCCTTCATATCTAGTTTTTCAAGGCAGAATAAGGGAGCGTATGTAGATCTTCGATGTTTAAGTTATAAAGTAAAATAGGAATAATACATAGTTCACAAGTAATTTGGATTAATGTTTCATTCCTACTTTTAATTTTTGCTAGAGCTGCATCTTTATAAGGGCAGATGAGAGGTCTCTATTTGTTGAAATCCTGCAAGCGTACTGGTGGTTCGTTGTATAAATAATAATCATGATGAGAGAGTTATCGTCTCGTGGGGAATAAAGCTCTATACTAGCATATTTGATATATTTAAATTCGTTATTGTAATAAAATATGATTGACTTGTATCTAATTACGTTTAATAAATACGAAAGTAGTAAAATCTGGTTTTAAATCAAATATGACGAACATATTGGATTTCCCACTTCATTAATCAATTCTTAATTCAAATCCTCAACCTTTAATAATTAATTCAATTCATACAATTGTAACAATCAATAACTCTACTTTTATTTACTATTCTTTTCCAAGATATAATAAACCTATATTTACCACGAGACAATCATATTTCTAGTCTGCATTCATATGACAAACATGCATTGAATTTTAGGATTATCACACAACCGCAAACGTTAAAAATAATATTCCTAATATTTATTGTTCGTGTGTTCCATGAACAATGTTCTACATATCGCGAGTTTTTCAACACTACGAATAAACAACTTATTGCCCTAATGGTGCGCGTAATATTAAAACAATGTAATTATGCATATTTATTGAATCACAACGTAAGAATTAAGCTAAAAATACTGAGTCTCGAATTAAAAATTATGAATCAAAGAGTTTTGTCATTCATCCAATACAAATAAATTTAGACTAACATATTAATGTAAGAATTACATACAAAAAAAAAAATGAAAGAAAGAAAGAAAGTCATCATCCGAATCATTGAAATATAAGAAAAATATGGAAATATTCAATTAAAGCCTTCAAATCCGGATCCAAGCGATGAATTCTTCGTTCTTCGATGTAAACTCTCTCTATTTTTCTCTCCGAATTCGGCTAAAAATAAAGAAAATAAAAATCCCCCACGTTCTTGCAACTCTAGGTTTTTTTTTTTTAAAACGTCCCCTAATTCTTTCCATATGAGTTTCAATTAAATAAGGAAGTTGAAATTTTTTGCTTCGAAAAACCTTCTATGCGGCCGCATAGAAAGATGAGGTGCGACCGCATAGAACAATTAAAATCCCCAATATTTGTTTCGGTATTGGTAGATGCGACCGCATCTAAGGAAGCTTATACGATTGCATAGGCTTATGTCAAGCTTTCCCCTTTATATTTTAGTCCTCAAATGTTTTCTTATTCCTTTTTTTCACCCTTTCTTGTTCCCATGCTCCCATCTCTTGTTTAATTGATTCCCAGTATTTTAATATCTTGATTTCGAAGTTCGGCTCATTTTTTAATTATTTACATTTTGGTCCCCAAACTTCCAATCTTCTCCACTTTGGTAAATTTTCGCTCCTTTCTACAGTTCCACCTTGCTCATCGTCGTAAACCTAAAGCAAGCAAAACACAACAAATTAAGCCAATATACCATATATTTTATCACTAAATATTCAAGGGTAGCAATCCGAATAAGTGTATAAAAACATACTTATCAGTCCCTCCTTAATGGTCATGTCCTTCAGGCTTCAATCTCTCTCAAAAGTCTTCTTCTTGATGGCTAGCTCGATTTTTTCCTAGGTCAAACGGATTTGAGACTCGATGTACGCCTTTCTCTCTCAAGCTCGATCCAAATTTTAAAATAAATTTGGATTAGAGGTAAGCAAGCCATCGGTTTTATATAATAATTCCCCACCCACCCCACTCCACCACCATGCAACCCCATGTAACTGTACTTTGGCCTAGTCATGCTCCATATTAATATCAAGAAATGTTAGACGGTCCGACAACTTATTGCAATCATGCGTCTCATTTTAGCATGTTCGTGATTCCACTCTCGTTGGGTTGTTTGTCTCACTTTCTTAGCTTATGTTTGATTCATGTTTATAAATATTGAAGTAAATCTTTATCCACACATATTGAAGGACCCAAAAGTACTATCCACTTATTCAGTATTAATTTCTGACTATTTGTAATTTAAGCTATTTATATACACTTCTTAAACATGCTTACAACCCGTTTGACAAGCTTCCGTCTTTACTTCTGCCTCTTGTAGAAAAGTTTTCTCCACTTTAATCTAAAAGTTCTTCTAATCAGATATAACACTTTTAAAAAATTATCAAAATACGTCCAAAATCATCTTTTTAGTGTTAGAAACAGATTTTGACTTTTCAAAAATTCTACCAAAAAGATCATTAATCTTGTCCTCTAAGAGAAAAACATAAACATCAAATTGAATAAACCCAACACCTAAATATATATACAACTAGTCAATACTAAAAATCATTTTCTAATCTCTGTATTACAAAGCAATCAGCTAAAAGCAAAGAATTCCATGTGATTTAACAGTAAACTTGTTGTCTTTTTATTGTTAGGGTCAAACAAAAAGAAATGGCATTTTAATGATTGTATAGAGAACCAAAAACTGTCTCTCAATTCATTTCTTGACTGCAGTTAGGGTTTCAGTAAATTCTGAAACCACCTGAAGAAGATAAGATTGGGAGATAAGACAATATGCCTTGGCCTTGGGGCTACCCTACTGGTGATTTAAATGTGTGTATTTCTTATGAAGTGTTATTAAGTACAACTTGATTTTTACCTGTTTGTTTGTTTCATAGGTATATTCTATATAGAAAATTTTACTCTGTGATTACATTGGTTTACTTCAAGTCTAGAGGATGAGTAGGGCAATACACTTTA